CCACCATTTTGCATTAAAGTCAGCTCATATACAGTCAAGTAACCTAATTTCGTGCTAACCTATTTATAGTGCATTTCCAGAAAGGATTAATAATTTACATGTGCGACCTCACATGACCTCCGCATTTTCTTGTTTTGATTAACATGGGTTTTTTGTACAATATCAGCTAGTAGAATGAATCCAGTAGTTTCAATCAAGGTAAAATGTATTAATGTATCCTTTGACAAATACAAAATGGCGGATTTCAGTTATTACTAAAACGTCACAATTTTTTATCGGCCGAATTTCCTTATAATCCCTAGCTGTAATCGGAATTCTAAGTGTCATCTGCTAGAATGTAGTCCAACGAATGAAGTCACGTTAACAACTATTTCCTCAGATATTCTACACAATAATTAAAATTGGTTTGTTTCGATTTTGTTTATAGATCCCTCACTTTGACCCATATTTCATGAGTAACCAACTCAACAAAAAATTGTGACATTTGGTAATAAGGGAAATCCGCCGTTTTGTATTTGTCAAAGTAGACATTAAAACATTTTAACTTGCTTGAAACTACTGGATTCATTCTGCTAGCTGACATTGTACAAGTAACCCATGTTTATCAAAACAAGCAAATGCATAGGTCGCACATGTAAATTATCAATCATTTTCGGAAATGCACGAAATTAGGTTATTCGACTGTATACATATGCCAGTTATTTATGCTGAGTAATTCCACAATTTTTTTTAAAATCAGTATCAATAACCCAAATACAACAAACAATTAAATCACACAGCTCTAATCAAGGGCAAAAAAAAATTTTGATGCGTTTTTCCTTAGTCAACCCAAAAATCGTTCATCGAAAACTCATCAAGTTCAAACTTGTCCATGATCTTATCAATATAAATGATCACACTAAATTTTATTAAAATCATTTCAAAACTGTAGTCTCTATTGTGTTCACAAACAAATTTTGACCCATTTTTCCTAAGTCAAGGGCAATAACTCAAAAACCTTCATCAAAAATGCATCAAGTTAGAACTTGTCTGAAATCTTTTCAATTCCAATGATCACATCAAGTTTCATCAGAATCGGTTGAAAACTGTAGCTTCAATCCTGCTCACAAACTATTTTTAACAAATATTGACGCGTTTTTACAAAGTCAAGGGCAATAACTCACAAACAGTTCATTGAAAATGCGTCAAGTTAGAACTTGTCCGAGATCTTATCAATTCCAATGATTACACCAAGTTTCATCAGAATCGGTTGAAAACTGTAGCTTCAATCCTGCTCACAAACTATTTTTAACAAATTTCGACGCATTTTAACAAAGTCAAGGGCAATAGCTCAAAAACCTTTCATCGAAAATGCGTCAAGTTAGAACTTGTCCGAGATCTTATCAATTCCAATGATCACACCAAGTTTCATCAGAATCGGATGAAAACTGTAGCTTCAATTCTGCTCACGAACAATTTTTAACAAATTTCAAGGAGTTCTAAGTCAAGGGCAATATCTGAAAAACTGTTCATCAAAAATATGTCAAATTCGAACTTGACCGAGATCTTATCAATCTAAAGCATCACACCAAGTTTTATCAAAATCAGATAAAAACTGTAGTCTCTATAGTGCTCACAAGAAATGTTGACCGACGGACAGGGGCGACGACAATATACGACCACATATTCATGCGGGCATATAGAAATGTATGGTTTTTTATCCAATAACCTCCCGTGAAGTGTGTTTGACCTATATCCTTTACTTTCATTTTATTTATTTTTATCTCTCCTAAATTACCTCCCTTGAAGTTGAAACATTCAGCTGTTAGTCAAGTGTAGCTCTGTATAAAACTAAAATAATATTATCCTAGTGGGAGGAGCTAAGCTACTGGAGTACTGTGTTGAATATTATTATCACAAAATGGCTGTCAGGAAGTGAATGTTTCCTAATGATTTTGGAATTGTTTAGGATTTGTCATTCTGTGAAAATATGACAGAAATATATAGGTGATCTTACATTTCAAAAGTCAATAAGGCAATCATCAGGAAAAAATGTATTTGAAAGGCAGGGGGTAAAATATGTCCAGTTCGAATAATAATTTAAAATGTTGAGGAAATTGTTGAGAACATCAGGTGGTCAAGGTGATCCATTAATTTTTCAAAACTTTAAACATACTTGGATGGCCTGGCAGAGTAATTAGAAGGCCATAGTTTTTATATATCTTGTCGAAGGAGCCCCAACGAACGTAATTTTTTGAAAATGTGAAAAATAAGAAAAATATATTTCGGAATTTTTTTTTCCATGTCCATAGTGAAATAATTGAGCCTTAAAATGAGAAATGAATACATAATTAAATACTATCCAAAAAATTTCTAATTCTGCCTTCAATAAGGCTTAATGTCTTGTAAAGATGGCAAAGTTCTAATAGAAGGGAAAAGAGAGTGATGGTCAGGTGACACGCTCATGTCAAGTCGCCTAGTCAGCAATTCTTCATGGCAGCACCCGACAATAATTCAGGATAGTTTTCAGTAATCAAATGATTTAGTGCTGTAAAGATTAACACATGAAAACTTATATCCATATCCTACGACTAACGAATAAATCTGAAAAAGATCTTGATTGGTTGACAGATACTAGCTGCAGGGAACAATATACTAAAGTGACCATAAGTAGATCAGTTTTTTTTAATTTGTTTTCTAATATTAAAAAAAACTTAACTTATTGGGTGAGACAGTTAATTTATCACACCTTTCATTAAATTACTTGAGGACTGAGATTTGGTACCGAAACAAAGGCATGATTGTCACTATAAATAGTATCTTAGTCACAGATTGTGCTGAAAATCTTTTATTATACTGAAGTGGATAGTAGACAACATATCGGGAGTAGAGAACAACAGTATGCTTATAGCATACTTCGTAAATATTACGTACAAGATACAACACTTTCGTTTGTAACAAAAGAATAACAACTTAGATATGATATTTTCCGTATTTTTCGCAAACCCCTGCTTTAAATTTTTATACACCCACATGAAATGGGGGGCATTTATTGCTGTCACCCATGTCCGTCGGTGTGTCCGTCCACAATTGCATGTAAACACTCTACAAGACACAATTCTTGACCGATTTGACAAAACTTGGCATGAGTGTTCATAATCACCCAAGCATGAACCCTGTTGAAAATCAGAAAAATCGAAAAATATTTAGTATTAGTTATTGCCCTTGTTCTTGAAAACGCGTTCAATTTTTAGCTCGTGAACACTCTAGAAGGCACAATTCTTGACGGATGTTGACAAAACTTGGTATGAGTGTTCGTAATCACCCAAGAATGAACCCTATTGAAAATCAGAAAAATATTTAGTATGAGTTATTGCCCTTGTTATTGAAAACGTGTTCAATTTTTAGATCGTAATCACTCTAAAGCCTTTCAAATTAGGACTCAAATTCGCAGTTTTCTGACCTGCAAGTGCAATACAGGTTAACAACTAGCTAAGAATAGTTTATGTAATTCAAATAGGCTGTAGGGATTATTTATATTCCTGGTGACTCTTAGGGGACGATAAAATTAAATCGTATCTTGTTGAAAAGTTTTAAAAACATAAAAGATAGCTTGCCAGGCAAAGTAATATACGCCCACTCACTGGCAGCTTTGATTTTGAATAAAAATATTTAGCAGTACAGTAACAATCACCAGTATGATATATTCAACCTTCAGTCATACACTTCTTTTGAACTCTTTAGCGCAATACTAAATAATATTGAGTATGAGTTATTGCCCTTGTTCTTGAAAACGTGTTCAATTTTTAGCTCGTGAAGACTCTAAAAGAGACAAATCAAATTCCCTGGCCTGTCTTTGTTACAGTAGGGCCTAGTTGTATTAGATTTGGGATCTAAAGTTGCATAGGCCATGGGTACGTGGATATCGATTCCAAATGCTTTTTCTATCAACTGAATTAGGCCTAGTTCAGACGTCGATCTTCTTATGTGCCGAAATAAATTTGAATCCGAATCCGTTGGGCTTAACAGTTTGCTGATTCACGTCGACCTGTCGTTCACTCCACTACAGACATTTATCGTCTGAATCAACTGCTGATCTGAATGATTTGTGTTGACTTAAATGTCCTTTATATTTGACACGCCAGAAGATTGACGTCTGAACTCTGAACTGAGTTGCATAGGATTTTGGACCCTCTCTGTGCAGATACATACACAAATGGAAGTTCAGGCCTTTTTGTGAAGTTGCATAAGCCATGGGACCACGCCTGTGCAAAAACATAGACAAATCAAATTCCTTGGCCTGTCATTGTGTAGTTGCATAAGCCTTTAGACATAATGTTGCATAAGCCATGGGTGTGTAGTACAGACTCCATCCTGTTTTCCTTCAATCAGTTCTATGTGTGAAGTTGTATTAGGGTGTATAAGTATAAGTGAGACAAATAAGTTGTGTAAGACTTTGGACATAACGTTGCATAAGCCATAGGTGTGTAGTACAGCAGGGCTTTTCCTTCAATTAATTCTATGTGTTAAGTTGCATAAGACTTTGGACATAACGTTGCACAAGCCATGGGTGTATAGTACAGACTCCATCGGTGTTTTCCTTCAATCAATTCTATGTGTGAAGTTTGGAAGACTTTGGACATAACGTTGCATAAGCCATGGGTGTATAGTACAGACTCCATCGGTGTTTTCCTTCAATCAATTCTATGTGTGAATTTTGGAAGACTTTGGACATAACGTTGCTTAAGCTATGGGTGTTTAGTACAGACTCCATCGGTGTTTTCCTTCAATCAATTCTATGTGTGAAGTTGCATAAGCCATGGGACCACGCCTGTGCAAAAACATGGACAAATCGAAATCCCTGGCCTGTCTTTGTATGACATGCAGTTGCATAAGATGTGGGACCTAAAATTGCATTGGCCATGGGAACATGTATATATTCATTGACTCCCTATGATGCCTTTTCTATCCACTGAATTACTTACAAGTTGCATAAGACTTTGGACCATCCCTGAGCAGACATGGACAAAAGTAAGCTCAGGCTTTTTTGTTGAGTTGCATAAGACTTTGGACATGATGTTGCAAAATTGTGCAATATATGCACTTTGACAGTACGGTAGTACCGCAACGTACGATGGACTTCTTTGGAACCCCCGTGATTTTAGTCACAATTTGAATTTAACAATTGTCATATAAAGTAAATAAATAAGATTTGAACTAATTTAGAAAAAATGATATAGAGCATACAACGGTAGTTCAAAGCATAGTTAAAATATTCGTGTGGCCATAAAATGCCATTGCAGGGGTGATTGAAATACAGCATTGATATGATACTAATTTTAGCCCATTTACATTTATGGCGGGAAAAATTATCCAATGAGAATTGAGTATTGAGAAAATATGACCCCAGTGTTCTATATTTAGTAAATTCTAACTAGTCATCTACCAAACCATTATTTAAATGGAAACACCAGACGAAGATCCAAGTTTCTTAATTTTATTTGCATCATATTGTGATATTTTTTACTTTAGCTCGATAATTTTATTTACAAACATCGTTTACAAAAGATACATACGATAGTCCTGCACAACACCAAGTCGTTATCGGCACCGATGCAATCCAGCAAAGGGCCAGGTAAAATTTGCCAATGTTGTTTCCTGTACCACGGAACATAGATATTTTTAAGTTTCGTCAAGACCAATGAAGTATATGGCCAGGATGGATTAACTTAATCCTTGGATGTTGGTTTAACAAACACCTGTAGATGACACGACATAAACAATACCGCTAATCCCTTGTCAATTATTAGTGACACGCGATCGGATTAGTTAGTATTAATTACTATGGAATTTGTTAATTGGTTGTCAATCACAGGGGTGCGGAATCGGAACCTGGAGCATCGGGTTTACGGGTAATTTTCCTGGTAAAAAAAAAAGTGTGCGGATTTCGGGGTTATTGAGTACCAGTGGACAGATAAACGCAGTTCCATGTGATACTTTTAAGCAACCTTGTAACTTCAACCATGGTCCTTTATGTCCAAAGAATCGGATTCTGTGAGAGTCCATTGATTGTGCACATTTGGTCAATGCTTTTCCAAGACTTCAATGATCAAGACTTGTGATAATTTATCTTATACGTATTTACATGTAGGCCTACCTTATGTGAATTAAGTCAGATGATTGATATTAAGACAATGCAGGAACTAAAATAAAGTTTTTATTTATTCAGGTGATATTTGCTGGGCAAAGCCTCCAGATACCACTGTATGGTGGCCAGTGCGTGTAATGGAGAAAACTGGTTCGAAATATGATGTGTTTGTCAAGTGTGACTACTCAATGTAAGTATGATTTACTTTGTTGATGTTCTTCTGTTCATAAATCTAAATAAAAGGTTGCAGAAGGGGATAAGGAAGGTTCGACCAACTGTCCAAAAATGAGAAAAGTCACTTCTAGGTTATTGAAAAAAAGACAGCTTTTTTTTCTGAAGTCCTTGGCATTATTTTTTGGATTCTGTTTTAGGCTGCATGCACATAAGGTAATACCATTTCTTGCTGGTGAGAAGATGAGTGAGAGAAAAGGGGAAAAGTGCTATCACTGTTGATATTGCATAAGTTTGGGGACAGAAAAAGCTTTTCTAGTGAGCTAAGGTCTGCAGGGCAGAAGTTGATTGCCATATGATGAAATAATCTGAAATCCGTTTTTGAAAAACAACCGACTGGTTTTTTAGAAATCCACTTTAAGTGATCAGTGGTTCTCTGTTCGTCTGCTAGAGTAGATGATGCATGTTTGTGAGTGAAGATTGGGTCTCGAATTCAACATGTACCTGATGTTGCCGCAACGTCATGTCGCCTGAAGAGGTCCCACATGAATTGGAATGCACTACGCTTTGTTGCGATGACATTAAGCTAGGCATTGAAAAGGCATCATGTGCATCAAGATGACAACAGACCTGATGGAGACTGTTTCTCATGACTTCGTGATAAACAATGAACTACCGGAATAAAAGGTTAAAACAAGAAAATTGCCTAGTCAGAATCTGGCCACCAATAAATAAATATGTCAATGTTTGTATCTAAATGGATAAATTTGAAATGATATCATATGCGAAGGTTTCAAACAGAAAAACGGTCATGTGTAGAAAAGGTTTTTCCTGTGTCGTTTAATTGAATAATACAAGCAGAGCTGCAAATTTCTTCTACAGAAACAATTCCTGCTTCCATATGTAAACCTCAAACTTCACATTACTAAAATGAGTGAGACTTCAGAACGTGAGGAGCCAAAATGCTCTTAAGTGAAATTTGCAGGCCTGAATGCCAGTTGTTGAACAATTCGGAATGACTCGTTTCCTTTTATTTGTTTTTATTGCTTTATTACTTTTGACAGTTAATAAGTTTATAATTGAAGTTTTTATTATCTGTGTAATGACCATTCATTCCCAGATATGTTGATTGATTTTGGGTCCTCAGGTGGTGTATGGACAGTTAAGCTTTTACTCATTGAAATACTAACCTTTTTTTCTATATTTTCAGGTACACTTGAAAGAAAGAAAAAAAAATCCACATTACAAGCATTCTTGGGTGATTATGAATGGGCAATTAAAGGTACGTGTACAGTATTGACCACTTAATGTTGCATAAGACAACGGGACCACGCCTCTGCAAAAACATGAACAAATCAAATTCCCTGGCCTGTCTTTGTGTTACTTGTAGTTGCATTAGATTTGGGACCTAAAGTTGCATAGGCCATGGGTACATGTATATTAACTCCTTACAAGTTGCATAGGACTCTGGACCATCCCTGTGCAGAAACATTGACAGATGGAAGCTCAGGCCTTTTTGTTAAGTTGCATAAGACTTTTGGACATGATGTTGCATAAGCCATGTGTGTGTAATACGGCCGGGCTTTTCCTTCAATCAATTCTATGTGTGAAGTTGCGTAAAACTTTGGACAACATTATAAGCCATGGGACCATGTTCAGCTATTTTCTACAGTGCTAGTATGTGATTAACTTTCGATGACTTGTAATATGACCATTTACATTATTTTCAGCTCTTGATGGTGCTTCAGACTCTGCAAATGAGGAAGCCCCGGATTCAGACATTGATGTAGCACCAGATGTAATCCCAGAGTCCAGAGACATTGATGTAGCCACAGAGGTTGTGATCTCACAGTCCAGAGACATTAATGTAGCCAAAGAGGTTGTAATCTCAAACTCCAGAGATATTGATGTAGCTCTGGAGTCCAGAGACATTGATGTAACCACAGAGGTCGTAATCCCAGAGCCCAGAGACATTGATGTAGCCCCAGAGGTCGTAATCCCAATGTCCAGAGACATTGATGTAGCCCCAGCTGTCGCAATCCCAGAGTCTAGAGACATTGTTGAGCACCAGAGGTTGTAATCCCAGAGTCTAGAGACATTGTTGTAGCACCAGAGGTTGTAATCCCAGAGTCTAGGGACATTGATGTAGACACAGAGGTCGTAATCCCAGACTGCAGAGACATTGATGTAGCCCCAGTGGTCGTAATCCCAGAGACAAGACACATTGTTGTAGCACCAGAGGTTGTAATGCCAGAGTCCAAGGACATTGATGTAGACACAGAGGTCTTAATCCCAGACTCCAGAGACATTGATGTAGCCACAGAGGTTGTAATCCCACAGACATTGTTGTAACACCAGAGGTTGTAATCCCAGAGTCAAGAGACATTGATGTAGCCCCAGTGGTCGTTATCCCTGAGACCAGAGATATTGATGTAGCTAGAGAGGTCGTAATCCAAGAGTCCAGAGACATTGATGTAGCCACAGAGGTTGTAAATCGAGAGTCCAGCGACATTGATGTAGAGGTAGAGTTGAATAGCCCAGTTTTGCCTTTCCTTGGTGATATTGCATCCACTCCTTTTCAATTTCAGTCAGATAAATGTGTTGCCATGGCTTATGATGATGATGATGGCACTTGTAAATTGGTTGAAAAAACATTGGTAGCACTGCAGGCTTCTGAACAAAGTGTTTGTGAACAAAAATGTAGCAGTGGTTCTGAAGATGACAATTGTGACCCTGGAAGCTCTAAAGATCTAGATTATGATCCTAATGAAAGTAGTTGTTATGATTCTGATGCGCTTTCTGACTGCAGTGATCCTGATGATAATCACATTGATCATGGGATGGGGGTAATGATGGTGATAATGGTGAAGATGGTGATGATGATGTGATCTTTCTCAAAGCAGTAAAGGTAGGTGTCGATACTATGCTGAGAAGCCCTCATGAAGGAAAAGTGGAAACTAGTAAAAGAAAACTGCTTGATCCATCAAAGTTGCTGCAGACAGAGGTCTTCTCGATCATGAGGCAAGATGAAGTTGGAAAGGAAGCTAAGCTTGATCTCTTGGTGGTAGCATTGGGGGAAACCTGGTTTAGGAACTGTGAGGACAATGAGCTCAAGAGAAAGTACTATGCATCCCAACATATGTGTCTTGTTACCAAATTGCTATTGAATGCAAGAAAACGAGCTGATCCCAACAAATCAAGTTACATAGGTGAAGGTCAACTTCAAATTTGGCATTTTCTCCGCTTGACATATTTTGACATTTTGGTTCAGTCTGCACTTGACACTGCTTTACCAGATATTGAAGATGAAGAAGAACTTAAAAGTCCTTCCAATGCGATCAAATTGAAGTATGATTTGATTCGAGTGGCAGAAACCAAAAGTTTACTTGCTGGGATAGAGTCCAATAAAGACCGCTCCAACAGGAAGTGGAAGCATTATAAAGAAGAAGCAACAGAGTTCATTGATGCTGTACGTCAAAATGGTCAGAAAAGATGACTCGTCGTGCCAGGAAGTTGCTGGCTGAAAGAAGACTTAACAAGGTTCAATTCTTGCCAAAGCCAGAAGATATTCAGAGTCTACAACTGTTCCTCACGAAGAAGCTGCAGGACTTGAACCTTGAGCCGGAACATGCAAATTGGGCATCATACAGTGAAGTAGTAAAGCTTTTGCAAGCCAGACTCGTCTCGTACAACAAAAGGAGATCTGGGGAAGTAGAAGCTATCAAGTTGTCCAGTTAATTGAAAAGAAGTGGACTTGCTGATGTAGATACTGCTCTAATGGGTTAGCTAAGTGCAAGTGAGAAATATCTACTGAAAACACAGGACCTTCTTGAAACAAGGGGGTAAGAAGGGAAAGCCGGTTCCTGTACTCATCCCCAAAGACTGCAGAAAGGCAATGGACTTCATTTCTGATGCGACCATTATAAAACGTGTCAACCTTGAAAACGTGTTCAATTTTTAGCTCGTGAAAACTCTACAAGGCAAATATTCAATCTTCAGCACAGGACTGAATAATAAAACCAAGTTTTGTCAAAATCCAGCAAGAATCATGCGTTTTCAAGAGCAAGGGCAATAACTCATACTAAATATTGTTCAATTCTTCTGATTTTCAATAGGGTCCATCCTTGGGTGATTACGAACATTCACAACTTGCACAAGTATACTTCAGTATCGCCACAAGAGTTCAAAAGAAGTGTATGACTAAAGGTTGAATATTTCATACTGGTGATTGTTACTGTACTGCTAAATATTTTTATTCAAAATCAAAGCTGCCAGTGGGCTTATATTACCTTGCCTGGCAAGCTATCTTATTAAATTTTGTGTATTTGTTTAAATCAACAATATTTTGCACAAATTAGATTTTTAGTATGATTTGACACAGATAGGTGACCACTCTGATATGCTGAAAATGTATCAGGAAATTGGGTGTATCTTGCTAGGCAACCACTTGTTCTTTTAGCTACTGAAATTTCATAGACAAGACTTATAATATGGCACTTTAGAACTCTCAAATATGTTCGGTGATGTAATTTCCATCTGGAGTATTATAACATATCTATGGTAGTACTCATTAACTATCCATTATTTGGTAAATACTGTTCACTTACTGCCCATTTTATTCAAAAAGTGTCTACTATTCTTTGTTTTTTTAATACTTTTCCTTTACACTTTGAACTTGAGGTAGGGAGACATATCATAATATATATTTTCCAATTCAAATTTGACATAAAAAAGCTTACTGTTTAACAACAATGTTTATCAACCCCAAAATAGTACTGAAAGTCTTTTCAGATTTCAGAAAAAATAAAAATAGCTTGCGAGGCAAGATAACATACGCCCACTGGCAGCTGTCAGAAATGATAAAACAGTCTTAAGTGACTAAAGTACAAATTTTCTCGTATTGAAGAAATTTTATTAGTTTGAATTCAATTATATATATATATATGCCAGTTATTTATGCTGAGTAATTCCACAAAATTTTTTTAAACCAATATCAATAACCCAAATACAACAAACAATTAAATCACACAGCTCTAATCAAGGGCAAAAAACAACTTTTGACACGTGTTTACAAAGTCAAGGGCAATAACTCAAAATACATTCATCAAAAATATCTCAAGTTAGAACTTGTCCGAGATCTTATTCCAATGATCACACCAAGTTTCATCAAAATTAGTTGAAAACTGTAGCTTCTATTGTGCTCACAAACAAATTTTGACAAGTTTTTCATAAGTAAAGGGCAATAACTCAAAAACCATTCATCGAAAATGCGTTAAGTTAGAACTTGTCCGAGATCTTATCAATTCCAATGATCACACCAAGTTTCATCAGAATAGGTTGAAAACTGTAGCTTCAATCCTGATCACGAACTATTTTTAACAAATTTTGACGCATTTTAACAATAACTCAAAAGCCTTTCATCGAAAATGCATCAAGTTAGAACTTGTCCGAGATCTTATCAATTCCAATGATCACACCAAGTTTCATCAGAATAGGTTGAAAACTGTAGCTTCAATCCTGCTCACGAACTATTTTTAACAAATTTTGACGCGTTTTAACAATAACTCAAAAACCATTCATTGAAAATGCGTCAAGTTAAAACTTGTCCGAGATCTTATCAATTCCAATGATTACACCAAGTTTCATCAGAATCAGTTGAAAACTGTAGCTTCAATCCTGCTCACAAACTATTTTTAACAAATTTCAACGCGTTTTAACAAAGTCAAGGGCAATAACTCACAAACCGTTCATCGAAAATGCGTCTAGTTAGAAGTTGTCCGAGATCTTATCAATTCCAATGATTACACCAAGTTTCATCAGAATCAGTTGAAAACTGTAGCTTCAATCCTGCTCACAAACTATTTTTAACAAATTTCAACGCGTTTTAACAAAGTCAAGGGCAATAACTCACAAACCGTTCATCGAAAATGCGTCTAGTTAGAAGTTGTCCGAGATCTTATCAATTCCAATGATTACACCAAGTTTCATCAGAATCGGTTGAAAACTGTAGCTTCAATCCTGCTCACGAACAATTTTTAACAAATTTCAAGGCGTTCTAAGTCAAGGTCAATATCTCAAAAACCCTTCATCGAAAATATGTCAAATTCGAACTTGACCGAGATCTTATCAATCTAAAGCATCACACCAAGCTTTATCAAAATCAGATAAAAACTGTAGTCTCTATAGTGCTCACAAGAAATGTTGACGGACGGACAGGGGCGACGACAATATACGACCACATGTGTAATAAATAATAAAACTCGACATCAAATACCATCTTTTAATACCCAACGTTTCGTCAAAAAAGTTTTGACTTGATCAGGGGAAGAAACAAACTATAAATGGTGGAAGGCAGTTAAGATTAAAAGGTTTATGACGTCACAATCTTAGAAACCACATAACAAGAGAAGGGTCAAATCACAAAATGGTGGGAGGCAATTTGATTCTTGATAACATGACCTCAGAAGATTTATGACATCAAAATCTTAGATACAACATAACAAGTATGTAATGATGACTTCAGGATTTACCAAAAAATCTAAACAGGAAGGGAAAAAAGGGGGAGGGGGGAATTACACTAATATTTAGCAATTTTGAAACCTCCTGGGTTGAGTTCATTCAATCCATACGGCCATACAGAGTCAAGTCTATGAATCCACAGAGTTTCTGCACTGTCTAATTTGCTTTTGCTTTCATTTGGAATTTTTTTAAGAAGTGTGCATTTATAATCATGACCAGGTTGGTTGGTTAAAATGGGGGGGCAATATGAGGAGCTTTATGAACCTTTTTCAATTTAATGTTGCTCCTATGTTTGTTATGTCTAATATTGAAGGGGGTTATTATCTGGCCAACATACTGAAATTTACATAATTCACAAGTAAGGCAATATATAACAAAATTACTCTGACAATTTAAAGAGTCTTTGATATAAAATGTGAGTGTCTTTTTGTGATAGTGTTAGTTGTGTTCATCTTTTCACAAGTTTTGCACTTAGGTGTATTACAAGGTACACATCCCTCACTTTTAAAAATATTCACATTGTCTACACACTGTTTTAATTTGTTTTCCCTTAATAAATTTCCCAAGGTCCTATTGCTGCGTCCTGCCACAATGATTTTCCTTGTTTTTAACGATGAGATAGAAGAACAGATTTCAAAGATTTAACTGTGGTTTTGTTTATCATAACTACAAGAGTTGACTCCCATCCCTAGACGATGAGATGGAAGAACAGATTTTAAAGATTTTACTGTGGTTTGGTATATCAGAACTACAAGAGTTACCTCCCATGTATTATATTCTAGACTATATCCTACTGTGTTTTAGAATAGTTCTGTAGAGTAGTTATTAAGGCTGTGAAAAAATGTGAAAATTTCAAGGTATATAATTTTTTCAACAAATTGAATCTTTTCAATTGAAAACTTTTTCAAAATATGTTTAAGATATTCAAAGCCTTACAGGGACTACAGGAAGACAGCAAACTTGCATCTTTGAAAAGAGTAACATCCGTAGATTGCATGAACCACCTCACCAAAGAAATCAAATATAAACATAAGTGCTATTTGAGAATTTATTGTAGATTAAGTGGGCTTGTATAATATCTGTTCATTTTTTAATATCTAATATTATAACGCTCATTGATTTGATTTCATCGTAACGGTGCCAATTCTTTCTATTCTATTTTTGATACCTTTCGGGTCAGCAATAGGCCTAACCATGCCTATCAAGTCATAATATCTATGTTTAGTTATGAATGCCTTGTTTTGATTGGTCGGAAAACTCTTAACCAAAATAACCCATCGATTTATGACCTTGTTACATAACCTCTTAACTCCCAGTTTAACCAGATAGTCTAAAACAATGTTGATATGTTTTTGACCTACTTTTTAATCAACTCATCTAAGTTTATGACCTTATTAATGTAAGGGAGTTATTTGCTTCAGGCTGTACGGGCAGATCTTCCTCTGATTATGTGAATAATATCAAACTCTTCTTCTGGTTTCACTATTTATTATTCATCCAATACATAAACTATCAACACCTATACTACAGACTTATACTAAAGGGAAATCTTAACGGACTGCTTACTAAATTGCCTAGACGGTGGATACCTTCACCAAGAAGGGTATCTCTCTCTTCTGTAGTCTAATCTGGGATGATCTTGTTAGCTTTTCTCTGCCATATTATCTTAAAGGAGAACAAAGGCCACATCCATCATTTGTGATGTACTATACACCCTCTGGGCACTTGTCTACTATATACTTGTCTTATAGGAACAATAAATGGCCCCATACAGCCACTACCTTATTAATGGCTATAGTGCTGTAATACTTGTCAGGTAGATTTATATGTTATGACCACTAATATCATTTCATGAAAGATTGTGTTCTAAGGCAATTTAGCAGCATTCCTCATGACATCACTTTTATTAATCTTAAGCAAGATTACAGTAACACCTGCATTTGACTTGTTGACTTGTTACATAATAGTTTTAACTCC